GTCACAAAGGGGGAAAGAGTAGAACAAGGAGTTCAATCTATAACTGACCACAAACCATCAAGTGAGGTAATTCACTACCTTTGCACCAGCCTGCAGCCTATAACTACACTTCACCTCTCTAAATACCACTAGGTGGTTTTCATCAAACAGCTAATACCCAGTGGGAGGCTGTCTCCCTACATCCTCACACACGCTTGGTATTATCTACCTTTCTTATCCTTTTCCATGCTTGTTATTGCTTTCATTTGCATTTCCTGGTTTCTGATGCATTTTCTACATAAAATTGACCATTTGGGCTTCCCTTTCTGTGAAGCACCCAGTTTGTATCCTTTTCTCCCTCTTATTCAGGGTTTCCTATCATTTTCTTATTTGTCAGAATCATTTGTGTGGTATAGATTAGGGCTTCTCAACTTCAGCACATTTGGGCATTTGGAGTCCAATGATGCTTTGCCACCAGGGCATAGCCGATGTCCTGTAGGGCATTTAATGCCATCCTGGGCCTCTGCCCATTAGGTGCCAAGAGGTGGCCTCTCTGTTTCCAATAAGGACAATCTGAAATGTCTTCAGACATTGCCAAATGCCCCTTGGGGGCTAAATCACTCTGACTTGGGGACCACCAGCCTGTATCACAACTATGTTTTCAAATATATCTCTGTTGGGTGTTTCTGGAGTAAGAGTTGGGTCAGCACTAGGGGTTTGGAGTCCATCTCTCTACCCTACCACACACATTCCCCCAGTCCCTTCATCCAGCCACATGCCTCACCTGTGTCCCCATAGAACCGTGGGGCTGGAAGAGGGCTTCCTTGACTCCTGGTGGTGCCAGTGGCATGGGTGAGTGGTTTGCCTGTGGTGGGGAACCCCTTGACAAGGCCCCTTCCCATAGATTTGTCCCACATCCAGGGAGGCTTGTAACCATCTTTGTCACCTTGAGAGATACAGAAAAGAGGCCTGAGTCTTCAACTTCCCCTCTTGGACAACTCTCCCTCCTGCTCCCCTGGGCCCCAGCCCTGGTTCAAATGCCATCCTGTCCAACTGGACTGTCACTTCAGCCTTCTCCCTGATCTCTCAGCCACCTTTACTATTCAGTTGGGATGCTCTTAGGTACCAATAACAGAAAGTCTGACTAAACTAGCTCATAAAATAAGGGCATTTAGGCTCAGCGCCCGTAGCACAGTGGTTACAGTGCCGGCCACATGAACCAAGGCTGGTGGGTTCAAACCCGGCCCAGGCCAGCTAAACAACAATGACAACTACAACAAAATAACAGCCGGGCATTGTGGTGAGCACCTGTGGTCCCAGCTGCTTGGGAGGCTGAGGCTAGAGAATCACTTAAGCCCAAGAGTTTGAGGTTGCTGTGAGCTGTGACACCATTGTAGACTGAGGGTGACATAGTGAGACTCTGTCTCAAAAAAAATTAAAAAAGGGGGCATTTATTATTTCAATTCCGTGAGGCCCCTGCCCTAGTGGAAGGAAAAAAACACATATCTTTATTAGCTCCCTAGAACATTTCTATATTACTATTTTTCCTATTTTGGAGGCCAAATACAGTTGGATAATCTTTGTGTGACAATAATTTTATATAACATAGATTTATAATATGTACCATATATACACTTATACCATTTTATTTAGGAACAATAGAAAGACAATCCTGTCTTCTAGCTTGGTTGATCATAAAGCTTACTTTCACAAAAGCTTTTTTTTTTTTTTTTGAGTCTCACTCTGTCCACCCTGGGTAGTGCCATGGTGTCATAGCTCACAGCAACCTCAAACTCTAGGGCTCAAGTGATCCTCTTGCCTCAGCCTCCCAAGTAGCTGGGACCACAGGTGCCTGCCACAATGCCCAGATAGTTTTTCTATTTTTAGTAGAGACTGGGTCTAGCTCTTACTCAGGCTGGTCTCAAACTCCTGAACTTAAGCAGTCCGCCCACATCAACCTCCCAGAGTGTTAGGATTATAGGTGTGAGCCACTGCACCCAGCCCACAACAGCTTTCTTGAGATATGATTTACACAACATGAATTCTGCCAACTTGAAATGTGCAGTTCAGCGGTTTTTAGTATATTCACAAGGCTGTGCGACCATCACCACAATTGAAATTAAAAACATTGTCATCACCCCAACAAAACACTCCATACCCATTACTGTGATCATTCTGACTCACCTGAATGTATTCCAACTTTCTCTGTGACCCTGCCCCCCATACTGACCTTTGAGGCCTCTTTCTAATACAAAAGTCTACCCCTGCCTCAACTTTTCTGTGAATCTCCACTGTCCTTGTTGCAAAGTCCACATGCCTGACCCTCCTTCACAGACTGCCCCTGCCCTCCTTCTGGTATCCTCTCTTACCACTGTGTCATCCACACAATGCTCTGCCCACATGGAACCCCTAACCTAAAGTATTCATATTGAGCTTTGCAAACCTCAGAGCCTTTGCTTGTGCTGTTACCACCACCTGGAACTCCCTTCCCAACCTTTTCCTTGAGAGGTCCCAAAGGGGCCTCTCAAAATATTTTCTCCTTCTGCATACAAAGTCAGGCAGAAGGCTCAGCGCCTGTGGCTCGGGCGGCTAAGGCACCAGCCACATACACCTAAGGTGGTGGGTTCGAATCCCCAGCCAGGCCCACCAAACAACGATGGCTGCAACCAAAAGATGGCCAGGCGCTGTGGTGGGCGCCTGTAGTCCCAGCTACTTGGGAGGCTGAGGCAGGACACTCGCTTGAGCCCAGGAGTTGGAGGTTGCTGTGAATGATGCCACAGCACTCTACCCAGGGGGACATCTTGAGGCTCCGTCTCAAAAAAAAAAAAAAAAACAAAGTCAGGCAGAAGAAGGACAGTGTCCAAGACCTCAGGCAAGTTTATCATGGTCATCTTGAGCTCCATGGCTAGATGTCCCAATTACAAAAATCTTTTGCTCTGTCTCCTGCTAATATATTACATAGGTAAGGAGAAGTGGCTCATGCCTGTAATCCTAACACTCTGGCAGGCCAAGGTGGGTGGGTTGCCCAAGTTCAAGAGTTTGAGACCAGCCTGAGCAAGAGCAGGACCTCATTTCTAAAAACAGCCAGGTGTACTGGTGGTACCTATAGCCCCAGTTCTGTGGGAGGCTGAGACAAAAGGATTGCTTGACCCAGGAGTTAGAGGTTGTCATAGACTCTATGACACCACAGCACTCTACTGAGGGCAACAAAGTAAGACTCTGTCTCAAAAAAAAAGAACACAAATGGATGGCCTCATCTAAGAGGGGATAGAGAAGGCCTCATTGGGATATGCCCTTTGAACCAAATCCTAAAGGATGAATAAAAACTCACCAGGGACAAATGGGTAAGAGTTGGAAGGATCTGTACCCAGATCTCATCTGATTTTTAAAGAAGTTCAAAGGATATACAGTGAGTATATCCTTTTTTTACTCTTTTTTGTTGTTGTTGATCAACCTAATTTAAGTGTGCCACGGAAGTTTAACTGTAGGTTAAAGTGTACCATGGGATTAAAATAAAAGTTGAAAACACTGATCAAAGTCCTTAAAATCAGAGACTTTTCACAGCCACAACAAGAGAGAAAAATATTTAGAGAGGAAAGGTCAGAGAGATGCAAGCTTGCTAGCTTCAAAGATGGACAAAAGAGTGAGCTAAGGAATGAAGGCAGCCTCTAGAAGCTGGGAAACCAAGATCAAGGATTCTTCGAGTCTTCAGAAGGAAGCAGTTCTGCTGACACCTGGACCTTAGCCAAACGATGCCCATGTCTGACCTCTGACCTACAAAACTGCAAAATAAATATGTGTTGTTTTAAGCCACTAAATTGGTGATGCTGTCATGGCAGCCATAGAAACAGTACAGGAGACCAGGTGCAGTAATTCACACCTGTAATCCTAGCACTCTGGGAGGCTAAGGCAGGTGGATTGCTTGAGCTCAGGAGAGAGACTCTGGTCTCTAAAATAATAGCTGGGCTTTTTTGTGAGTACCTGTAATCCCAGCTAGTTGGGAGGCTGAGGCAAGAAAATCACTTGAGCCCAAGAGTTTGAGGTTGCTGTGAGCTATGATGCTACAGCACTCTACTGAGGGTGACAAAGTAAAACTGTTTCTCAAGAAAAAAAAAAAATCTAAGCTTGGTGCCTGTGGCTGAAGTGGCTAAGGCACCAGCCACATATATCTAAGGTGGCAGGTTCGAATCCAGCCCAGGCCCGCCAAAACAACGACAGCTGCAACTAAAAAATAGCTAGGCATTGTGGGGCACCTGTGGTCCCAGCTACTTGGGAGGCTGAGGCAGGAGACTCGCTTGAGCCCAGAAGTTGGAGGTTGCTGTGAGCTGTGATGCCACAGCACTCTACCCAGGGGGACAGCTTGAGGCTCTGTCTGAAAGAAAAAAAGAAAGAAAGAAAGAAAAGAAAAGAAATCTAGCAGAGATTGATGGCACCAGTGCAGATTTCTGGCAAGATAAACTCTTCCCCATCTCTGCTCCTCTGAGAGTTCTCCTTCTGCTTGTGTCTGCTGGTGAAGTATAGGTAGTACCATCTCCCCTGTGAAGTTGTCCTTGATTACTAGAAATAATTACTCATTCCCTGGAATCCTGCAACTGTTGTTTGTTTTCAGAAAATTAGTCCAACAACCAATATTTTGTGGTTTAAAACGATTTCATACACATTTTGCAGCTTGGATTGGGACGTGAGGTCGCCCAGATGATTCTAATCCTGCTGGAGCGCACAGGTGGAACCTGATGAGGGAGTCGGACTCCAGAACTCCTGCTTCTATTTCAGCACACGTCCTTTCCAACCCAAGGAGCAAAACGTGTGTAAAATCGTTTAAAACAGTCTCCAATCATGTCTCCTGGATTTCTCTGGACTTTTACCCCATATGAAACATAGGTGTAGCAATAGGACCTATGTCACCCAGTTGTTGGATTCACGCATGCCTAGCACAAAGTAAGCCGCCGTTGAGTTTTTCCAACATCCCTGGAGTCCCATTTTTTGCTGCAGGGGGAAAAGCGGGGACTCACCGAAGCTAAGTCATTTTTCAAGGTTACACTGCTGCGGAGGACAGGAATCATGCCTGTCGTTTCTCCCATTCCCTCCCACCACTCGCACTCCTCCCCGCAAGTCTTTCTATTGTCGTTAGATCTCCCCTGCAGCGTGCAATTCTGCATTTATTTAATAGTTCTCATTTTCTGCCCCTCTCGCGTCAAAACCCGGCCGGCTCCCTTTGCCCGTCTGCACCACGAGAGGGCGCTGCTGGATAGGGAGGAAGGGCTGGTCAGCAAAGCACAAAGACTCCGGAACACTAGCGACTTTCGAGCAAGAAGCGAGGCGGGTGAAACGCACTAACTCACAACTAGAATCTACCCCCTAACCCTAAGTCACGGCGCCCTAAGGAGTCGGCCTCCTTCCGCTCTTTCCCCCAGGACAAGTCTACTCTAGAGACACACCTGCTCACCGAGTTATTACCGCGGGCGATGAACCAGCTGGCCAATCAGGAGGCGCAGGGCGCCTGTGACGTCACAAGACGCCAGGCAGATGAACGCCTGCCCCTCCCACCTGGCGGTTCTCAGCCCCCGCCACACGTGCGCATGCGCTAGAAAAAGGCGGGAATGGGCGCGAGCCGCTAGGGTCTCCTGAAAGGAGGAAGAGTTGAGAGTATTTCAAGAGGCACAGGAACCTGGGCGCAGGACGACAGAGGCAGAAACCCAGACAGCTGGAGACGGCAAGCACGACGAAAGGGTGAAACAGACGACTGCGACAAACTGCTAGGGCGACAGGCAGAGAGGGAGCTCAGAACATGAGAGCAGGACAAACACTGCCCGTTTAAGAAACAGGCGGGAGCGGCGAAGGCAGCGGCGGGAGGGAGAGACCAGGGACGGAGATGGGGGAAGGATGCAGGCTGGAGGGAAGGAAAGGGAGGGTGGACGAGAGGAGAGAGCCGTGAGAGGTGCAGGAAACAGGAGACCTTATGGGAACAAGGTAACCAAGAGACCAGAGGGGCGAGGAGACAGAGCCAGAAGTGAGGGGTCGGCGTGGGAGTGCGGTGAGGATGTGAGTGGGAGTGGGGGAACCATATGAGAGTGACCATGAAAGAAGCAGCAGGAAGGCACTGGAAAATAAGGAGAAACTGGTGATGAGGGTGAGAACGTGAAAAAAAAAAGAAAGACACCAGGAAGATGGAGAAACTGGTCATGACAAAGGGATCAAGAGATGGAGATGGCAAAAGCTGAAATACATCATGAAAGAAAAAAGCAGAAAGATATGGGAGAAAGGACAAAGAGAAAATGACTGTGAAAATGGAGCAAGGGACAGAGGTGGCGAGGTGACAAACTGAAAAAGATAAACACAGAAGGAAAGAGAAGTGATGGGAATATGAAACTGACAGTGACAGAAACAAGGAGAAAGACGGCAGAGAGAACCAGGGAATGACTATGGGGAAGGAGTAAGAAGAGACAACAGGAGGGTGAGAAATTGATTTTTTAAGAAAAAGAGGCAGGAGAAATAGTGTGTGAGAGGAGCAGACTGGACCACAGAGGCCCTGAGAGATGGGCCAGGAGAAATAGGCAGAGAAGAGGGTGCAAAGTGTGCAGGACAGGTCACGGCAGCAACATGGGGACCCCCAGCAGGTCAAAGCCCTGGGTGTGGCACCAGAGATGAAAGGAGATGCCACAGCAAGACAGAGACCCCAGAGCAGAGTGGGACAAACCTGTCTCTCTGGAGGCTGACCCAGAGGAACAGCATCAGGCCGCCCAGGGATGGGCCAGAGACAGGTGGGTAGAGGGGTCCCTGCCCTGTCTGAGCCGGGGGGAGCAGAGCAGGAGCTGCGAGAACAGTAAGGTTTCACTTCCTTTCCGGGAGTGGGGATGAAGATGATGACATGGGGACCCTTGGCCATGGGCTTGGGTCAAGAGACCAGGCTCTTGTATCAGTTTACTGCATGAGGACTGCGGAGCCTGGCCTGATCTCTTACATGGCCTCTTCTAAGCTCTGGAGAAGAGTATCACTATCAAGCCCAAGGAGGACATGCTTTTAGGATCTCTGGGACCAAGGAAAACCTGTTCAGGCTCCCTGAGACCTTGGCCAACTCATTTAGAAGGGTCTGGTCTTTCTGGAAACTTTGCAAGGAGGCAAATGGAGGTTTCTGGAGGCCCCAGTGGTCACCCTGGTCATGTGCCTCACCTGTGTCTGGCAGGCGCCATGTTGACAGGGAGGAGACTGCTGGGCGCCTGGTTGTACCCCAGGAGAGAGCATGTCCAGGTACTCCTTCCACAGTGGTCCCCTTGGCCAGGTCCTCTCCTGAGGAAGGGTCCCAGGTCCAGGGGGGATAATCATCTTCATCTGAGTAGCCTATGGAGAAAAGGGGAAAAGTGTTGACCCTATCTCCTGTCTTAGAGGTCCTGAAATCTTCTGGAATCACTCTGGGATGCCCCTGCTCTGACCCCCTCACATCCAGTTCTGTAGATTCCACCATGATGCAGTCACCTGGCCTCACCTCCACCCCTGCCTGCCCACCAACTCCATCCATTTGGCTTCTCCTCCCCACTCCCTGCCCTCATCCCCTGTACCAGTGCAGGTGAGCCCCACGTCTTCCTCGTGATCACAGTTGTGCTTCCCCCATGGTCTTGAGGGACAGTTAGTCAGCGAAGTCTCACTTCCCTTACAACCCATATCATCCAGCCAGATGGGCCCAGTCCCAGGACCATAGTGGGTTTTTCCTACTCGGGGCCGGACCTTTCCACAGCCCAGTTCCCAGCAGGCCACAGTGGCATCCCGCAGATCCCAGTTATCATCACACACTGTTCCCCAGCGTCCAGCATGCCACACTTCTAGCCGACCTGCACACCGGTTGGGTCCATCAGCCAGACGAACCCGGAACAGACCTGTGTGGATGGCCTTGGGTCAGGAGGGAGGGCCAGCCTCTCCCTTCATGCCCAATTTCTCTTTGCAGCCACTCACCTGATTTCTCAGTGGTGCTATCAGTGGGGGAAAGGGATGGTTCTTTGGGTGACTCTGGAGACCCTTCTGCTGGGAGCTCAGCAGATGGCTCCAGGGAAGCCTGAGGGATTTTCCTGATAGTGGCCTCAGAGGTCATTTCTTGGGGCCCCTGAGCAGTCAGTATTGCTGTGGTTTTAGAATTTCGTTCTTGGGGACTCTGAGAAGTCAGAATGGCAGTCCTGTGTGAGATCTGTCTGGGGGGGGTCTCAGTGGTCAGCCTTGTGGTAAACTGAGAAGTCAGCCTTCCAGATGCCTCAGCAGTCAGTGTTGTAGTGGTCCATGAGGTCAATGCTGGGGGATTTTGAGTGCCCAGTCCCCCAGCATGTTTAGTGGTTGGCATTACTGGGGGTTGAGTGGTTGGTCTCTTTGTATTTTTTGTTACCCACTTTTTAGTACTTTTAGGCATTTTCCCTGGCACCTTGGTGGTAGTTTTCTCAGGAACACTAGAGGTCAAACTTGCAGGGGGCTTGGTCACCACCTCTCCTGGGAGCCAGGCATCCTGATCTCTACCCAATCCAGGGATCCAGCTCCAACTGAAGGGGTCTGAGACAGAGTCCAGGCCAGGGGGTCCTGGAAGGTGGGTGGAGATGAAAGAGAATATGGAGACAAGATCATCCATCCAGGCCCCTCCTCTCTAGTCAGTCACCAATTTCCCATTCACCTGTCATTCATTCCTCATTCATGCCACAAATATTTACTCAGCATGTCCTATGAGCCATACACTGTGAGCCCCTGAGGACACTGTGGTAAGACAAACCTGACACTGTCCCCAATCTTCTTGGCTCTTACAGTCTAGATGTGACTGATCTCTTCCACTCCCTCACACTCAATCCCTCTTCTCCACCTCCTCAGCTTCTGCTTCAAATCAAGACCTTAATTCCTGTACCTTCTAACGAGTTTCCCTATCTCCTCATCAATTCTCACCAACAATTAGTGTGGAACCCAGATCTGACAGGCCACTCCCCAGCTTCAGTCCCTTCTGTGGGTCCCCAGGACTCTCAGGAAGGGGGAAAGGGAAGAGTTGACTATTCCATCCTTTGCATCACCAGTACATATCTTACATCTCTTTGATGAGCTTATGCATGCAATAGAGGATTAACCTTGCCCAAAGGAAGGTTTGGCCTCTTATCCCTGGCTCCTGGGCAATGACTTCCAAGCCTTTGGAATGTCATGCTTAATAAGAGATTCTTTGTCTACCTGTTGGACTTAGGCCATGCCAGATGGTCTGTGCTAACAACATGGTTTTTGGATCACCACAGAGGCAGTCGACCACATCTAAGTGACCCCCTATAAAACTCTGAACACCAAGGCTCAGGGGAACTCCCTAGTTGGCAATACTTCATGTGTGTTGTCACACATCTCTGCAGGGAGAATTAAGGGCTGTCTGCATAAGTCCACTGGAAGATGACCCTTGGAAGTTCACCCCTGGTCTTCCCTGAAGGTCTTCTCTGAATCCTGCCCCATGGGCCTTTCCCCTTGGCTGATTTTAACCTATAGACTTTCACTATAATGGACCACAACCCTGAGCATAATAGCTTCTCTGATTTCTGTGAGTCATTCCAGATAATTATTGAACCTGAGTGTGGGTCTTGTCATCCTCACATATCACACAGGTTTGCAGTGATGTTTTGTGTGTGTGTGTGCATCTCTTTCTCTCCATGACCTATGAGCTCTTGGAAGAGAAAAACCCAACACCTCATTCAGTGTCTGGCACTTATTAACAGGACTCAGTAAATGTCAGGAAATGAACAAACAAATGCATTGCCTGAGTTTGTGTTAATTGCCACTCAACTTGGCTTATTTCTTTCTGCCAGGGCCCTGTCTGCTTGCTTCCTTCCATCTCAGGAAGGATAAAGCTCCCTTCTTTGTGGGAGACATCCTTGATTCCTGGAAGGAGGAAGAAGGTTCTCAGTGTTAGAATTCCAGCTCTGCCACGTTGTTGCTGTCTGACCTCAGACAATTTATTTAACTTCTCTGTGCCTCAGCTTCTTCATCAGTAAAATGAGTATAACATCCACCAACCTAGACTTATGTGGTTTGAATGCAGTCACCTGTGCCATAACACCCAGCACAGGGGTGGGACTTAGGAGACATTCAATCCATGTTAGTGTCAACATTAGTTACTGTTTCCTCCTCTAGGATGCCCCCCCTGGAGCCAGCAGATGGCTAGGGCCTTCTTACCAGTGCAGGTGACCCCAACGTCCTCATTGTGAGCACAGTTGTGCTTCCCCCAGAGAGCAGCAGGGCAGTCAGACAGCGAAGACTCCGTCCCCACGCAGCCCACATCATCTAGCCAGATGGGCCCTGCACCCCAGCCAAAGCGACCAGCAGCAGGGTCTGGCTGACGTGGTCCACCGCAGCCCAGCTCCCAGCAGACCACAGCTGAGTCCCGCATGTCCCAGCTATCATCACACACTGTCCCCCAGCGCCCATCGTGCCACACCTCCAGCCGACCTGAGCACCTGCTGGGCCCAGCCACCAAGCGCAGCTGTGGGGACCCTGGGATAGAAGAGACCCAAAGAATTGAAAGCCAGGAAACCCGTGCAACCCCCTGACTCACTCTCTCTGCCTCCTGATCAGCCCTAGTGCTTCTGCATGTGGCCCTGCATGCCATTAGCCACCCTCTCAGGAACTGTGGATAACAAACTATCTTTTTAGTGGCCATCTCTCCTGATCTTTTGGCCCCACCATACCTGAGTGATAATTAAACCTATAGTTTAAAACAACAGCCTCATTGATCCAGTCCTTTCAGTACTAATGGGATGGAAGCAGGCAAAACTACTTATCCCAGAGGCTCCAGAAAGAAACAGTATTCTTGAGTGGGGCTATTACCTGGAGCTGGCCAGAGTACTCTGTGAAGTACCGGAAAGCCACACCATGTGCCTCAGGAATAGAGTAGATCTCAGCCTCCCTTTCCTTTCTCCTTCCCAGAGCCAGCTACAGAATTTTCTAGCTCCAGAAAATAAAGAGCAGCTGGACCCTTTGTTTGAGATATGTCAGCACAGCCTTAAACCAAGCAGCATGTCCTTCAGACTGTGGGCTCCCCATGACAAACTCAGAGCTGGGAGGAAGAAACAGAAGCCAGGACCCTGTTTTCTTGCAAGACAGAAAAGGACTCACCAACTTCTGGTCCAGGCTCCCAAGGGGCAGTAGGAGAGGCTGGAGGGGGTGAAATGCCAGCTGTCCCTAGGGCTTGGCTCACCGTGGGGGACAGGGGCATGGAAGCCGCTTGCCTGGATGTTGAGGTGTTGCTGTCCACTGCAGGAGCGGTGGGAGGGACATAGCCAAGGGGCATTCCTGGCAGGGGGAGAAGTATGACCACCAGACAGACCCAGCCTTCCCTGACCTGGGGGTAGGAGGGTGGGAATGGGAGGGAAGAGAGACTAGAGAGAGCAGAAAGTGGAGGTAGCTTGGGGGTGACAGAGAAGAGGGGAGGTTGCCTTACAGAGGAGAAGTTTGGCTCCTGCTGGGGTGATGAAGTGGGGCCTAGAAGGGCTTCTCTGGGTGATGAGGCTCAATCTCTTACTTTTCCACTTAGGACTATCTGGTGCAGGGCAGGGTGTTGAGCAGCTTCCCTAACCTCTACACACAGCATCCCAGCAGCTCCCTATCCCCAACAACTGCAACAACCAAAATATGTCTCCAAACATCACCTAATGTCCCCCTGGGAGGCAAAGTCGCCCCAAATGGAGAGCCCAGATGGAGGATGAGTTTTCACAAAGGAGGAGAAAACAGGGAACACGGGAAGCTTGTCTAAAGGGACTAAAGGACACAGAGGAACATCCCCTTTCTCAAACCTCCACTCCAGGTGCCACCATGCCTGCCCCCCCCCATGCCCCTCACCATCACACACGGCTCCAGCATCCTCCCGGTGGTGACAGTCATGCTGGCCCCAGGTCCTAGATGGGCAGAATCGCAGGGCTGTCTCGTTTCCACGACACCGAAGATCATCCAGGATGATGGGTCCAGACCCTTCACCAAAGAAGGCACCCCCAGGGGCAGCCAGTGCCCTCCCACAGCCCAGCTCTCGGCAGGCCACTGCAGCATCTCGGAGGTCCCAGGCATCGTCACACACTGACCCCCAGCGCCCACTGTGCCAGACCTCCAGGCGGCCAGCACAGCCGTGGGGGCCATCGGCCAGTCGCAGCCTAGGGGCTGGGCCTGGACAGGGGGAGAGGGAGGACAGAGCACCAAGAAGCTGCAGTGGATGAGCAGGGACTGAGCTACAAGCACAGGATGTTAGGATGATGGGATGGGCCTAAGTTAAGCACAGGGCAGGAGTCATTCCCAAGACAATGCTGGAAAGTAGACATTCAGCTTCAGTTGACAAATGAGAAAAAAAGGCTCCAAGAGGGCAAGTCACTGGCTCAGAGTCCAGCTCAGGTGCACCCCCGGGCCCCAGCCTCCCACCCGTGGATCCACCTCCCAGGCCCATCTCCCCTTACCCCTCATCCCCCAACTCTCGGCTGTGGCTTCCCAGGTCCCATAAGGAAGGATTTCCAAACATCAGCACCATGGTCATTTGGGTATACATCACTCTTTTTCAGAGGTTGATGCAGGGTGGGCAGCCAAGTCCAGTGCAGCACCCACCAGTGGCACCCCCAATTGTAAGAAGCAAGGAAGGAGGAGGTTGTTGGGTCCCAGGCAGCCCAACGTACCGGTGCAGACCAGCCCAGCATCCTCACTGTGGTCACAATTGCTGCGGCCCCAGGGGCTCCGGGGACAGTCCCGGAGAGCTTGCTCTCCTCCTCCACACCCCACATCATCCATCCACACTGGCCCTGAGCCTGGCCCAAACCTGGCACCCCCAGGGGCGGCCAGCGCCCCCCCGCAGCCCAGCTCCCGGCAAGCCACAGCGGCATCGCGAAGGTCCCAGCCGTCGTCACACACGGTGCCCCAGCGCCCGCCGTGCCAGACCTCCAGGCGGCCCGCACAGCCATGGGGGCCTGAGACCAGGCGCAGCCGCTCTGGGGGGTGGGTAGGGAAGGAGGGGTAGTGCAGCTGGTGAGAGGCAGATTCAAATACTCCTTCCTTGGTTTTCACCTGGGGAAACTGAGGCCCAGAGTGGGCAGGGGCCTGAGATCTGCCTGCCCTTTAAGAGAAGAGAGCCAGGACCTGAGAAGGGCAGGATGCTGGGTGTCCTGAGGGCTGGGGCAGGATATAGAAGAGGTCCAGGCCTGACTTTCTGAATCCCCAGGGAGCAATGTGGTGAAGGCTGGGATCTTTCCAGAGCCCCAAGTTAAGAAGAGGACATTCCTGGGTTCCCTGTCTGACTGGTCCTGGGGTCTCAGAACATCTACATTTGAGAGCTGGAGGATGCTGAAAGTACCTTGGCGGGGGGATCCAGAAGTCAGCAGAGGGGCCCGTGTGGACTTGGCCTGCTTGGGTGGCCGGGGGGTCTTCTTCCGGGAGCTATTCTGGGGGCTCCCTGCTGGGTGGGGTGCTGGGAGAGAAGACAGCCAGAAGTTAAGAGCTCATCCTTCCTCCCACCTGGGGAGGCCAGGTCTAAAGTGATGGAGGACTCGCAGGTTGTGAAGGACACAGTGCAACCATCTGTCCTGGGAGTCTCCCTCTCCCCATGGCTGATGCAGGGTGGGCAGCTGAGTCCTCTGGGCTCACCAGGAGTCACAGGGGGCTCCTCTGAGGTGAGGCTCAGCTCCCCAGACAGCCCTAGCCACGAATCCCCATCCAGCGTGGAAGCAGGATTGTCCCTCGAATTTGCTACCCGCTGACCTATAGAAGAGAACAGGAGCTATGAGGGGGGTCAGGGGAACAGAATGGTCATTTGGGCCCTGGGAGAGGCACAGGGCTAGGATGCAGGAGCTCTGAGTGGTTGTAAGTTGGAGGTCCCAGAAGGAGGGCATCAGAGGCAGGGGATCCGTGGATTTACTGGATCTATGGTCTTTGAGGCCCTAGGTCATCTTCAAAGGAGCTGCCCCCAAAGAAGGGGTGAGGATCACCTCACCTGCACAGACGACACCTGCATCCTCTTCATGGGAGCAGATATGGGCCTTCCAGCCCCGGTGGGGGCAGAAGCCCAGCTGCCCCTCGCTGCCCCGGCAGGCCAGCTCGCTGAGCCACACCAGCCCCGTGCCCTCCCCGAAGAAGGCGCCCCCAGGGGCGGCCAGCGCCCCCCCACAGCCTAGCTGCCGGCAAGCCACAGCAGCATCACGGAGGTCCCAGCCGTCGTCACACACGGTGCCCCAGCGCCCGCCATGCCAGACCTCCAGGCGGCCAGCACACCCATGGGGGCCGTCAGCCAGGCGCAGCCGCTCTGGGGGCATAGAAAAGAATGTGATCATATGGCCCTCCCCAAGGCCAGGGTAACAGTAGGAGCTGGGGGCTATCCAGTATGGTGCCATGGAGAGGCCACCATGCTGGCCACTGAACCCGGGACCCAGGACTCCCAGGTGCTCAGAGAGATGTGACATGACCAGATACCTGGGGGATTCTAGCAGGGAACAGTGGCTAAAGGCATAGTCATAGTGGAATGGGGGGTGACAAGGGACCCAGCAGGAGGGTGAGGCCAGGCCAGAGGAGGGCACATGGTGGCTGGGAGATGCCAGACCAGAGGAGTATCTGGGATACTTACCAACAGCCTGGATCCCCACTAGAGCTGCTGGAAGGGAGGTTGGAGGGTGGGACAGAGTGAGGAACAGGCCCAAAGTGGGTCCCTTCTCCAGTGCAGGACCCAAGACACACACACAGAATTCTCACACCTCTGAACCAGAAACCTTACAGCTGGGAAGGACCCTGGGCAGAGTCTGAGTATGACACAGGTCCTAGGATGGGTGGGGCTCCAGATGCCTGATCCCTGAAGTCAGGGCTGGGACAGGGCCTTTGTGTTCCCACTGGGATTTGGCCAAAGGTCAGATGGCTAGGGACCCCACAGGGGTCAGGGGGTAAGGGGTGCAGGTCTGGTGCTTCTTCCAGGGTTAAGCTGAATGTGCAGAAGGCTGGGTCCCTGAGGGGTCAGTCAGGGGCAGCCAGATGTCAAGATATCCCAGAGCACAAGGAACTGGGTCAGGAAGTCTGAGCCCCTAAATTGGATAAGCTAAGGGGTTGGAAGTAGAGGCCTAGGGTCCTGAGTCCCCAAGAAGAAGGGATCACTCACCAAGGAGGCAGGCCAAGACCCTCATGTTTGCAGAGTCCAGGGAAAGGCCAGGGTGAAAGGGGCCAAGCAGGAGTGAGAGAAGGCGCCCGAGAGGGAGGAAGGGAGGGAGGGAAATGCCTCGCCTGCCGGAGGCGCCCAGGGCCCAGGACTGAGGAGGAGCAGGCAGGGACTGGATCCTTTGCCAGAAGGAAGAGAGAGGCTGTAGGGAGGCAGCAGGGGACAGGAGGGGGAGGGGGCTGGCCAGTGGCTGAGGCTGGGGAGGAAGGGGGTGGCAGGCAGGAGGGAGGGTGTCCAACTGCAAACACCCACACAGAAGGCGGCCAGGCAGGATCCAGACAGCTGAGCAAAGTACTGTGCTCACAGATGCTTAGGGGGTGGCAAGCCACAGGGAAGGGTCAGGACAAGGGTAGGGGGCCCACCTCCTGCCTCCTCTCTTGTCTGGCCAGGAAAGCCTGGTCAGATCACTGCTGGGGTTAGGGACTGAGAAGACCTGGGGTGGTTGATGCAGCAGCAAGACAGCTTACAGCCAGACACCAGGAGGGACTTCCTGGGTTAGGATAAGAGACTGCAAAGCGGCTTTCTCCATTCCTCTCCTTACTGGAGGATGTGAATGGGAAGCTCCAGTTCCCCCATCTGAGGGGGAAGTGGTTGAACTTCACTGTATCCAGAGGGAACTGGGGTAGGGGGATGGGAAGCCCAAGGGTCAAGGCTTGGGAGTAGGAAGGGGCTCTATACACGCCCCCCCCCCCCCCGCCCAACACACACACTCCCTCCACACCAGACAGCTGCCAGGCGGAAAAAATTCGGTAATGGGGAGTGTGACTCAGAGGGCTGGCAGGGCCTGGGGCTGCCCGAGCTCACTGCCTCCCTTTCTCCCAGTCCAGCAACCCCCCCCCCCAACAATTAATGTCAACTTGGGGAAAGGAGGAGCCAGACAGCCGGCAGGAATCAGAAGTCAGAGACAGACTGGAAAAGGCATCAGAGATGAGACCGGCACACAGCAGTTCCAGGCTTTATTAACAGTGTAAAAATCCAGACAGATGTGCAGAGAGGGACAGGGCTGCCCCTCTCTGCTCCCAACCCTCCCAGAGAGGCCCAGGCCCAGTAGCCCACCCCCTAGCTGTCTTTATGTGGTCAACCTAGACCCCTCCAAGGACAAGCATCCAACCTGCTCCAGTCCCAAGGAGGCTGTGTCCTCTTAGGGATCCCCCTGTGCAAGTCCTAACTCAGCCTCTTTGCTCTCCCCAAATCCTCTCCCAGGCCTGATGCACAGACAGCACAGCCCCTGCAGACAGACAGGGGGTTTCTCAGTGCAGGAAGAATGTGAGGTAGGGTACTGGGCAGGCTGACATCTGGTGGGCCCCCAACAGCCATGAAGGGAAAAGGGATTCAATCCACTTTGCAGAAGTTCAAACACTACAGACTGCACACTTCGGAAGGACAGAGACCAGGTTCCTGCCCTCTGTAGGTCTCAGTTCTGGGCCATAGCTGGGCTGGGGATTGACCACAAGGGGGGCTGTGAGAGTGCCTGGCATGCTGCCTGCTCATCAGAAGCTGGCTTCCCTTCCAGAGGGCTGTGGGGAAAAGGACACACCTTTTCCTAGCTCAGTGGTCCCACTGCTCACTCATAGGTCTTTGCTGAACTCTCTCACCAACATGTAGCCCATGCAACCCCAGCCTCCCTCAGCTTGGTAACCACAGCCCTCCAGCATCCCTGCCACCCCCCAAGCGGCCACAGCCACTGGGACCACAAGCCGGGCCCGGGGCTCACCCATCCCCCCAGCCCAGGCTCGAGCCTGGGACTCCGCAAAGGCCAGCAGCCTCCTGCCCACGCCCCTGCGGCGGTGCCAGCGAGAGACTGACAGGCGAGTGACCCGGACCCCCTCTCCCATGTTCGTCCCAGGGGCCAAAGCCAGGACCCCACACACATCACCAGAGCCAAGCACAGCTACCCAGGGGCCCCCCAGGCCACCTGGTGGCGGCAGAGAGCCCCACCGGGCCCGCAGGCCCAGCTTCACAGCCACCACGGCCAGGAACACAGGCAGGAGGAGGGCCAGGGCGAAGGAGGCCAGAATGAAGCGCAAGCCACTGCTGGCTGCTGCCAGGAGAAGCAGGGCTGGCGGCCGTGTCAGAGCATGGAGGGCCACACGGTTGTCCGTGTCCTTCACGCCAGCCTGTGGGCAGAAGGGGGTTCCTCGGCCACCCATTCCCTTAGGGCCCCTGCCCGGGGGATGGAGGGCCTCCCAAGTGGGAAGAAAAGCAGCATGAGCTGTGGTCACCAGTCTGACGGTGAATGAAGGAGTTAGGAGCTGTGGGGTCATCAAATTCAGTGGACATGCCACAGTGAGGCATCAGGAACATGACTCTTGAAGGGTGAAGGGACAGGAACAGGACAGGGAAGTGTCACAGGCTGGATTGAGAGCCTGTTGGAAAGGGCAGGACCAAGCTAAAGCTCCAAGCCGTACTGTGAAGAGATGGGGTGGGACCCAGCAGATTGGAGACAGTAGACCAAGGAGGGGCTGGGGCTGTGGTCCCTGCTGCTGCAGATCTGGCCCCTAGGTGGCTAAGGCTCAGGGAGGGTGAAGCATTAGAGAAGTGGCTGAGCAGGTAAGTAGCTTAGGAGAAGATCCCACCCCGGGGGGTCTAACTAGCTGGGTGTGTGGAAGGAAAGGGCTGAAACACTTAGAATGCCCCAACACGACCACCCCAGGCTCGCTGAGCCCTACTGCTCACCTTCAACATCTCTAGCACCAGAGGCTTCTCATCTTCCCTCATCTCTCGCACCGACAAGTGGCTGGGGGCCATGGCAGCCCCCGCCCCGCCCCCCAAAAGGGAGCTGGCGTGGTGCACCTGCTGAAAACAAGTAGGTCAGTGTCAGGTGGGCAATTCTGTTCTCAAGGGCCCCCAATGGGTGGAGAGCAGCAGCAGTTCCCAAATCAGGACGATTAGGACCCTCGAGACACCCAAGAGAAGGATGTGGAGCCCTATCCCCGCACCCAGCGACCATTTTTATGTTTCTGGGAATGCCCCCTCCCAGGAGCTGTTCAGCTAGCCACCCGCCCCTAAATGAGCCGAGGACGCCAACATAAGGTGGCACCGGGCTCGCCTCAGCGCGGGCTATCCCGGCGGTTCACAAGCCCCCCTCCCCACAGCACACACTTTGTTCCCCCCTCCGCGTCCCTGGAGCCCCCTCCCCTGCAGGCGTCCCTCCCCCGCGTCACAGGGGCGAGGACCTGCCAAACCCTCTGCGGGTGGCTTTGATCCTTTAACACGATGCGGGGAGCAGGGTCTAGAAGGGGTCGCCGGCGGAAGTGACGCGAAGACTCGTGCGCGGGATGAGAGCAGGGCGGCGCCTGCTGTCGCCCATAGCAACTGTTGCCATAGTTCCCGGCTGAAAACTGGGTGGAGAACAGTCCCAGGCGGGGACTTGTGACCCTGCTGAGGGGTTAGAGGGGGTGACCTAAAGGAGATACCTAGAGAAGAAACTATGGGGAAAAATGTGAACAGACGCTGGCGGGGCGGGGGCAAGGCTGCGGGATGGACTCGGCGGGCGCCGAGCGGCGCTCACCGAGACTGCGGAGGGTTAGCGCAGGCTACCTGCGTGACGTCCCCCAATTGCTAAGCACTCTAAGGGGAGGTGGGGGCGGAGATGAGAAGAAGGCTCCTCCTTGGCGCCCACTTAGTATACTGAACCCGCGAACACCACACTCCTCCTCCCTGTGGACCCCACCCCAGGCCGCGCGGGCCCGGGCTTGCAGTGGACATCGGGACGAGACTCTCCCCCTACCCGTTTTTCAGAGGTGGAGAGGGATGAGGTGACTTACAGGAAACAAGTGGCAGAACCTGGATTCTAATTCCAACACCTCCCCACTGTTGGAACCCTTGCATCCTCCCCTTTTTTTAAAGGGCAGGAAACAGCCCCACACGGGAGTAGCAGCAGAACTAGTCATCCGAATTGGGCCCTCTCCCGACTCCCAGCAAGGGTTATGACTCCGCCATCGCCTCCCTGTGCCCCGCCCAACCGCCCCCATGAGAACACCACAAAAGAGTGGAGATTCTGGATGTTTATTAGCAAGCACGGCCTGCAGCCCCCCTCACCCCCACGGCTGACAGAGGTCTCTGAGCCTGGCAGGAAGATAACAGCAACTCTACTCAAAACGTGTGCACCAGCTGGACTGCAGGCAGAGTCTGAACAATCTGGATAGAGGGCAGACCCTGCGGGGTCATGACACCAGGGCCAGCTCCAGCGGGGACCACTTGTACCATCTGGGAGGTGGGAGCAGCTGGGAGTCCCGCAGGGACAGAGGCTGGGCAGGGTGGTGTTGGAGTCACAAGCTGCAGCGTGGCGGCGCCTCCCCCCACGCTGTTCTCCAGCAGCTCGGTGGCTGGGCTGCTGCGGATGATGAGGAGTTTCTGTCCTGGCGGGCCAGGGGCAGGTGCCTCGCTGAGCCCCGAGGGTAGAGTTTCTACCTCCTGCACACAGAGCCTGGTCTGCTCCCCATCAGCCCCGCTGAGCACCAGCACACTCTGCAAACCTTCATCCGTCTGCACTGTCTCAAAAAGGACATCCTGGACCACACCAGTGCTGGCCTCACCATCCCCCACCGCCCCGGGTCCGGGCCCGGTGAGCAACTCCTCAGTTGCCCCACTCTGAACAACCAGCAGGCTGGGGGTCTCAGCAGTCACAGTTCCCCCGCTGGAATTGGAGAGCTGGCCCGTGACAGGCTGGAGCTGGACCGCGGCCACTTCCTGGGTCGGCTGGAGCTGGACCGCAGTCACTTCCTGTGCCGGCTGAAGCTGGACCGTGGTCACTTCTTGCGCCGGCTGGAGCTGGACCGTGGTCACTTCGGGGGCTGGCCGTAGGGCCTGGAGCTGAACCCCACTCACTTCCTGCTGCCCTGCCTCCACACCCGCTACATTCTGCAGAACAATGAGGCTCTGCCCGCCCCCGCTGGCCCCTGTGCTGCCCCCTCCCTGCACCCCCAGCCCTCCAGGGCCTGGCAGCCAGAGGACCCCTGTCCCCTGACCCGCTTTCCCCACAGCCTGCGACCCCTGCTTTGCACGGCCGCCCCCACCCCCGGCACTGGCACCGGAGGAAGGCAGCAGAATAAGTTTGGGAGGTGCCGGTGGGGGTGGAGGGGCAGGGGGCTGGACACTGCTGGGGATCAGCTGGAGGCCCTGGGCTGTCTGCACCAAGAGGAACGTCTGGGAGTTGGAGGCTGCTGGGCCCAAGGTTGGGGCCTGGGCTATGCTCCCAGCCACCTCCAAGGAGAGGGTGGCCTGCAGGTGGGGGAGAACGTGCACATCTTGGGTGGCTGGAGGGGCCGGGGCAACGGCCAGAGGAGCAGAGGGCTGGGGGCCTGGAGCGGGGGCTGTGGTGCTGGGGGGCGTGTTGGCCGGGGCGTGTGTCCTCAGGTGCCGCTGCAGATAGGCGGCCATAACGAAGCCCCGACCACAGATCGGGCAGGCAAAGGGACGCTCAGCCGAGTGGGTGCGCTGGTGCAGCAGCAGGTTGGAGGAATGGGTGAAGGTCTTGGGGCAGAGCGGGCAGCGGAAGGGGCGCTCGCCTGTGTGCACGCGCTGGTGCTGCCGCAGGTTGGAGGTCTGGGCGAAGCTCTTGCCACAGACGCCGCAGGCATGGGGCCGCTCGCCTGTGTGCACATGGCGGTGGCGCCGCAGGCACGATGTGTTGCGGAAGGCCTTGCCGCACTCCCCACAGGCATAGGGCCGCTCGCCCGAGTGCAGCCGCAGGTGGTACTGGTAGTGCGACGACCACTTGAAAGTGAGGCCACACTGGCCGCAGGTGAAGGCACGCAGGCCAGTGTGCACGCGCTGGTGGATGGCCAGCAAGGAGGAGCGCTTGAAGGCCTTGCCGCACTCACCGCACTGGTAAGGCCGTTCGCCCGTGTGGTCCCGCAGGTGGTAGCGCAGCCCGGAGGAGCCCTTGAAGGCCTTGCCGCACTCGGCACATTTGTAGGGTCTCTCTGTAGAAGCAGGGGCTGGCAGGGGCGGTGGGGGCGCGGGGGCAGCCGGTGCCAGTGGCTCCTGGGGGCAGGTGACCTCGGCGACCTCAGCCTGAGGGGGTGGGCGCCCGGCTGCCGCCTCTTCCACGTGGCACTGCTGGTGCGCCAGGAGGCTGGCAAGCTGCGGGAAGGAGCCATCGCAGCTGCCGCAGCGGAACGCCTGCCCGCCTGCCGGCCCGTGGCTATGCTGATGGCGGGAGAGGCCCGCCACAGTCCGGAAGGACTTCCCGCAGGGGAGGCAAGCAAAACCAGGGGCAGGAGTGGCGGTGGCAGGAGGGAGCTGGGTCAGAGAGGATGGCGGGGGATCGGACTTAGGCGTCTCAGCGGGTGCGTCCTGGGGCAGCGGCGCCACCTCTGACCCGGGGCATGGCTGGTGCTCCACCAGCAGCTCCTCGCTCCCGAAGCCCTGCTCGCAGCCATCACAGCGATACACCAGCTCTACGGTAGTCTCGGCAGCGGCCAAGAAGAGCTCGGGCACCACGGGAGGAGGTGGAGGTGGGGGCGGTGGGGCTGGGGGCGCAGGCGGGCTGTGCGGCTGGAGATGCCGCTGCAGGTAGGCATCTGGGACCAGGACCTTGCCGCCAGTGCAGGGCTCGCACTGAGGCGGCGGAGGGGCGGAGGGGGCGGGAACCTGGGCGGGGACCGCGCCGTGGGTGCGCTGGTGCAGCAGCAGGTTGGAGGAGTGGGTGAAGGTCTTGGGGCAGAGCGGGCAGCGGAAGGGGCGCTCGCCCGTGTGTACACGCTGATGCTGCCGCAAGTTCGTGCTTTGCGTGAAGCTCTTGCCGCACACGCCACAAGTGTAGGGCCGCTCGCCCGTGTGCACATGGCGGTGGCGCCGTAGGCTGGACGAGTTCTTGAAGGCCTTGGGGCAGTCTGGGCACGGGTAGGGCCGCTCGCCTGTGTGCTGCCGCAGGTGGTACTGGTAGTGCGACGACCACTTGAAGGCCAGGCCGCACTGGCCACAGGTGAAGGCCCGCAGGCCAGTGTGCACGCTGCGGTGGATCTGCAGCAGGGAGGAGCGCTTGAAGGCCTTAGGGCAGTCGGGGCACTGGTAGGGCCGCTCGCCTGTGTGGCCCCGCTGGTGGTAGAGCAAGGCCGAGGAACCCTTGAAGGCCTTTGGGCAATCTGGGCACTTGTAGGGCCGCTCGCCCGTGTGCGTGCGCTGGTGATGCAGGAGTCGAGATGACCACCGGAATGACTTGCCACACTCCCCACATTCATACTGGGCCGCTGGGGCAGGGGCCGCGGGGCCGGGCTTCTCCCCAGCCCCCTCAGCAGTGGAGGCAGGCGCCATGTCTGTGTGGGAGCCGACCATCACACCTGGCAGGGGGATTCTCGGTCAGGGGCGGTCAGGCCAGGCCCTCTCCTCACCCCCACACCAAGTCACCCAACCCCAAACCCTTTAAGGGGCAGAGGCCACCTCCCCAGGTCACCCATTCTGCAGGGACCTCCCTTAGGGTTAGAGTTTCCAACCATCCAGGTTTGCTCCAGACTGAGGGGGTATCCAAGATGTGAGACTTTCCAGTCTAAAACAGAAACTTCTCAGCAAATTGGGACACATTGGTCACCCTCCTTAGGAAGCTGGTCATCTTCTCCAGGAGGCTGGACAGGTCTGAGGAGGCTGAGTGAGATCTTTAAGAGGCCAGCCACTGCCTGTAGGACTATGACAGGCAGTGTTCTGAAAGGGACAGGCAGGAGATCTCTATAACACCCTGACTTCATTCCTTCCCAATGTTCCTTTGAAGACCCTGTCCTCATCCCCACACCCACTGCCTGCCATGGTTTCTTCCCCTCACTCTGAAACTTTACACTCTAAAGCCACTTCTTGATCTGAGCCCTGAGTATCTCCCTCCTTATCTCTGAACAGCCTTCTAGTTCATACCCTCTCCTGCCCAAACTCCTCAGTTCCCTAGGCTCCCCCCATCTGCCATCCATGAGGGCTCTACACCCTCCAGTCTATCCAAGTCCTCACCCAGCATAAATGCTAAAGGCAGCCATTACAGTCTCTACCCTGAGCATGCCTGGCTTGGGTCTCACAGGCCCCTCACTGTAGCCGTCCATGGCTGAAACTACACTTTCATGGTTCATGCTCCCCCAGGTGACTACTTGGCACGTTTCTTTTCTCCTCAGACCTCCAGTTCCTCCTTTCCCTTTGTGCTCTTAGCAGGTAACCCTCCCATTGAGGAGAAAATAAAACCAATCAGAAGGGAATGCTTTCACATTCCAAACATTATCCCAGTGTCCTCCTTCCCAGGGGGACAAGTGATAATGCCTGGAAACATTCTTGTCTGACAGTCAACTAGAAAGGCAGGTGCTAATGGCACCTGGTGAGTGGAGGCCAGGGATGCTTCTCAACATCGTACAATGCACAGGACGGCCCCCACAACAAAGAATGGTCAACTGATGTTGGCAATGCTAAGGTGGAAACACCTTGTGCTATCCCTTCCCACCTGCCTAGCCCTGTTCCCAGTGTCTGTCTTCTCACCACACCCTCATTTTTTTCCAGACCATTCCCACCAGTGTACCTGCAGCTACATCTCCCTTCTTTTTACAAAAACAACAGCTCTTCACTTCATGCCCCTCCAGCTATGGGCTTCTCTCCACCATGCAACAAAACAACTCAGCTGGGTCAACCTGCCCTTCCCATCCCAAACTGCTTCAGTCACCCTACCCGTGGCCTCCATGTCGTTTAGTCCACAATGGCTTGCTTACTCACTCTCTTTAACCCACCTCCCCTTAGCTACAATGAGTGTAGCCACCTCATTGTCCTTGTCTACCACCACCCTTTCTCAGTCTGCAGTCTGATTCCTGCTCAGCACCCTAACTTCTGAACATGGGAGACAAGTCTTGTTCACTGTTGTACCCTATATCCCAGCTTATAAAAACATCTGGCAAAGTACCGAGTAAACATATTCTGAGCGAATGAAAGCTAGGCATCCCATCTGGACAAGCTGCAAGAATTTTCTTTTAAAAAGATGAGTGTTGGCTCGGCGCCTGTGGCTCAAGCAGCTAAGGCGCCAGCCCCATACACTTGAGCTGGCGGGTTTCAATCCAGCCAGG